TTAACCAATGTCTCACTTGAAACAACCGAAAGTGTGGGCTCAATGGCAGTTGTAAATCGAGGGGGGTAGGTACCTGCGTTTAAGTAATAGATTACACATATCATTAATTCAGGGTTTAGATTTTCTTGCCGATAAATACTGAATTAATTTTGGACGGAGAATATAATCTGTATTGGAGTTGCATTCTTTCACCTGCCACAGGTAGAGACGTATTTCAAAGTTAAGGCTTCAAATTTGTTTTTATTTCGCAGCTGCAGAACAGGAATGTGTTTCATCACCTCGCTTCCCGGTGGAACAAAATTAATTTTAGGAAGAGCTCGCAACACGTTTCTAGCAAGTAAGACTCTGTGTAAGCACCGAGCAGGAATGTTTGCTTACAGGTTGAAGTCTACCTGTCTCAGTATCCCTGGGTGAAGTTCACCTCCGTTTTTGAACAGGCCCTTCCACCGTTTCCTGCAAGGGGGGGGGGACACAATGTCCTTCTTGTGCAATGGGGAGTTCGCAAGGTGGGCACGAGGTCTGAAATGAGGCAACCGGATAAAACATCCTGCGTCCGGTGCTACATGAAGGGGAAGGAGAAAGAAAGAAAGAAAGAAAGAGAGAGGGGGGGGAGGGAGAGAAAGAGGGAGGGAGGGAGAAAGAAAGAAAGAAAGGGAGGGAGGGAAGGAGGGAGAAAGAAAGAGAGAGGGAGAGAGAAAGAAAGAGGGAGGGAAAGGGAGAGAGAGAGGGAGGGAGAGAAAGAAAGGGAGGGAAGGAGGGAGGGAGGGAGAGAGAGAAAGAGGGAGGGAGAGAGAAAGAAAGGAAGGGAGAGAAAGGGAGGGAGAAAAAGAAAAAAGAAAAGAGGGAGGGAGAAAGAACGAAAGGGTGGGAGAGAGAAAGAAAGGGAGAAAGAAGGAGGGAGGGAGGGAGAGAAAAAAGGGTAGGAGGGAGAGAAAGAAAAAAGAAAGGAGGGAGGGAGAGAAAGAAAGAAAGAGGGTGGGAGAGAGAAAGAAAGGGAGGGAGGGAGGGAGGGAGGGAGGAAGAAAAAGAGGGTGGGAGAGAGAGAGGGAGGGAGGGAGAGAAAGAGGGAGAAAGAAACAGGAGAGGGAGGGAGGGAGAGAAAGAAAGAAAAAGAGGGAAGGAGAGGAGAGAGAGAAAGAGAGGGAGGAAGAGAGAGAGAGAAAGAAAGGCAAGGAGGGAGGGAGGAGGGGAGAGGAGAAGAAGGGAAGAATTAGGAAGGAGGAGAACAAAAGAGTTCTCAATTATCAATATCTGGAACATTTTTTTTTTATCCTGAAAAAGGTATTCTAATCCTTTTAGAGGATTTTAGTACCTCTTTTCCAGACTGGAATCCCGTTGGAGATAAAAAGTTGTGGTTTGAACACCTCAGGATGGGAAAAGCGAAGGCAGCGGCTTAAACTCAAAATTTGCACCCGGCAGACCCAACCAACCTCCAGTGTCCTCCCTCTTACGGGAACCCCAGAGAAATTAACTAAACCACCACCTTAAAAAACAGGAAGGGCGAGCTAGGACACGATTCGGCATGTAAGTCATCTCTGAGCCCGGTAGGCTCATTGATTTCAATCAACGGCACATCAACGCACTGCCTGAATGTTTATCCAGGTTGTTGGAGGAGAAGAAAAAAAAAAAAAGGAATAGATTAGGCCGTGCCTTGTCATCACCTGCGCAAAGGAAAAAGAAAAGAAGCATTTTCTCCGGGCAAAATAAAAAAAAATAAAAAATTATGCTTTGTGAGACTTCTGCGCCCTCTTTTAGGCAGATTAATACCATATACGTATAATGGAAATAAGTCGCATTTTGTAAGGTTTGGGGAATTCAAAAAAAAAAAATTGTATCTAAGTTATAGGTTATATTTTAAAATCAATTCAGTCAGTGTCGGCGAACCTTTTCAGCACCGAGTGCCAAAACGGGAGAGCACATGCATCTGCTCTTTTTCGTCCTCCCCAGGCTCGAGAGGCTTTCCTGGAGCCTGCAGAGGGTGAAAACGGACTCCCACACCCCTCAGGAGGCCAAAAAACACCATCCCAGAGCCTCCACGCGAGCCCTGTGCTTACCTGGCATCCAAAACGGGCCACGTGGAGACTCCTGGGAAGGGAGGGGCGGCATGGGCGGGGCCAGCCAAAAATCAGCTGGTTGGCGCATGGCCATGCAACAGCTTGCCCTAGTTTTATATATGTTTTTTAAATGCATTGTAAGCCGCCTTGAGTCTTCGGAGAAAGGCGGCATACAAGTTGAACAAACAAATAAATAAATAAATATCCACAGATATGGCTCCGCGTGACACATGTGCCATAGGTTCACCATCATGGATATATTTTATTTATTTATTTATTTATTTATTATTTATTGAATTTCTATACCGCCCTACTCCCGAAGGACTCAGGGCGGTGAACAGCCATGGAATAAAACACATACATATACTAAATTTAAAATCGAATAAAATGAATTAAATAAATTTGGCTGAATTAATACCCATAATTTAAAATACCCATATTTTAAAACACATTAAAATTTCTGTTTCTTAATAGTTTTTAACTTCTATATGTATTTGTATTTATTATGGCTGTTCACCGCCCTGAGTCCTTCGGGAGTAGGGCGGTATACAAATATGAAAAATAAATAAATAAAATAAATAAAATTTAAAATTTGCACTTAAAAGGGAGAGATTTAATATCTGGCCCATTTATCCAATTAAGTGCATCATTTGTTAGTTGGGGAAAAGTCTGCTTTTCCTCCGGTATAAGTTTTCAACTGGCAGCTAAATCAAACTAAACGATCACTCCACGATTCATCTTAGGCATTGCCTTTAAACTGGCTTACGGACAAGCCAAGGTTGATTATGTGAACCACAGTTTAAGCCAGCCCTTTCCTCGGTGTTCCTCTGATCAGTTCAGCTGCAAATCCGTGTTTTGTTTTGTTTTTTCTCCCTAAAGCTGAGCCTTTGAGGTTGGGGAAGTTTGCTTTGTGCCCTTGGCCTCGAGTTCATCTCTTTGAACAAGCCGGGATAAAGAATGTGAGTGAAATACACACAAAACGGGTTTGTTCAACTCTCGGCTGGGAGAGAGCTAGGCCCGCCGTGATGGACTTTTGAAAATCCTCACCCTTAAAAAGAGCTTGCTTTGTAAGGCCTTTTATTTAGTGACTTAAGACCTTTTTTCCCCCTTTTTGCAAATCGAGAAAAAGCCGGCAGGGTTTCTTAGCTAGTGGTGAATGACCTCAGAAATATGAGCGAGTGGCGGCGGGGTTAAACGGATCATGTTCCGAAGACACCGGAGGAGGCGTCCTTAAAATGCCAAGCCCATGCTTGAGATAATTCTGAATTGAATTTTGCTTGGTCCATATGAGCTGTTTCTCTACGGGTTATGAGCACTGGGTGATCTGAACGCAGAACTGCCAAATGACAATACAGATGACCTCAAATGACCACCCTCTGTGTGTGTGTGTGTGTGTGTGTGTGTTCCCACTCTGGGAATGGTCCCCAAGAGATTTCAAGAGGCAACTGTACTTCATTTTTCTCCGAAGACGTTTCGCTTCTCATCCGAGAAGCTTCTTCAGTTCCGACTGGATGGTGGTGGGGAATGGAAGGATTTATACTCCTTGCAGACAGTTGGTCATTTGAGTTTTTTTAGAGCATCGTTGAGGCCACTTGGAGGTCTGTCTGTGTCCTTACTTTTAGATAAACCTCCAAAGTCAGGGGTGAAATGTTTCTGGTTTGGGCCGGTTTGCCTAAAGTAGTAAAAAAAATGCTACAGGTTTGCCGAACTGGTAGTAAAAAAATGTAAAAAAAAAAAAGTTCCGATGATCAGCTGAGTGACACGCGATCATCAGAACTTTTTTGTTTTTTTTTTGCATTTAAAGCTTTAAAAAGTTAAAAAAGTTCCCACAATTGCACGTCGCTCAGCTAATTGTTGGAACTTTTTTTTTTTAGTTTTTAAGCATTTTTTAACTACCGGTTTGGGTGGATAGTAAAAAAAATGCTTTAAAAAAGTAAAAATACAAAAAAGGCTCGGATGATCGTGCGGCACAGCTGTGATCGTCCAAGCCTTTTTTTTTCTTTTTTAAAGCATTTTTTTACTACCTATTTATTATTAAATAAATGCTTTTAAAAGGTAAAAAATAGGTTCCCAAGATCACAGCTGTGCCGCGCGATCGTCAGAACTTTTTTAAAAAAACTTTTTAAAAGCATTTTTTTTTACTACCTATTCGCCCGAACTGGCATATGCGGCCAGTGAAACCGATAGCAAACCGGTTCAAATTTCACCACTGGTCCAAGTGACCTCAACGACTCTCTAAAAAGAATGCAAATGACCAACTGTCTGCAAGGAATATCAATCCTTCCATTCCCCACCATCCAGTCAGAGCTGAAGAAGCTTCTCGGATGAGAAGCGAAACGTCTTCAGAGAAAAACCCAGAAAGTCCAGTTGCCTCTTGGAAAAAAAAATCATCTTTGGGGACAGCCAGAGCCTGGATGATGGAGAATCTCCATCGGCCACTTGGGAACGGGTGACTCAGAATGAATTCTTAAGGCCCATGAACACAGCTTCACCACACACCCAAGTTGTATTTATAAACCGCATGCTAACCCCAAACCAAGCCACATCGCGGTTTATAAATAGATAGATAGATAGATAGATAGATAGATAGATAGATAGATAGATAGATGGAGATAGAGGGGACACCATAATATGAGCTCGGGGTGATTTTAACCAAGCAGGGTGTGGTGACGGAGGCCCAGCGACATGGCATCTCTCGAAAAATAAATCCAAACTCGGAGACAGCGTATGTGCTTCAAAAGCATTTTAATTTATAAACGGCAATTCCCATCGACTTTTATTTATACCATAAAAAGGCAATTTACAAGCAAGGAAACAAACGAACAAACAAACAAACAAAAAATCCATTGGAACAAAATAAAGCAGCACTGAAATATTCATGTCACAAAAATGGGGGGGGGGGGGGAAAAAAAAAAAAAAAAACAACAAAAAAAAAAAAAAAAAAAAAAAAGAAAAAAAAAACACCAAAAACGAAAAAAAAAAAAAAAACCATCTGAGTATAAGAGTAAAATATCATTTGAATAAATATTCTAAAATATCTCATGCTATAAAATAATCCTTAATGGCAAGTTTAGTTGCTTTAAGAGCATTCCGTTTCATTTACTTCACGTCATCGATGAAGTGTGTGGAGTTTGTGAGGTTACCGGTTTAATATTGCAAAATATTGACACTGAGGTAAGTCATTCAAAGCATTCAACTATGGATGAGGACATCAAAAGCGAGAGGCTCTTGATAGGAAGTTACTTAAAAATGCCATTTGCCAATGCACTGACATCATGCAAATCTCTTGCGAGTTACTTGTCTGAGCCAAAGAGGAGTGAACAAGTGATATATATATATATATTTTGCAAAGTTCAAAAGAGATCTTGACTTTCCACGTGGAGACCTGGTTAGAAGGCATGTTCTAGAACAGAGAAAGTCAGACTGCGCGACATGGTTATAGCTAATGGGGCGAGTTGCAAAGTAATCTGGTAACTCCCTTCGTCTGGCCTGCAAAAGATTTAGAGCACGCAAACGGCAGGGGAGATAGAAGGTTGGAAAATATAGAGCCATATTTCTAGATCAGGGGTGTCAAACTCAAGGCCCGGGGGTCAGATCTGGTCCGCGGGGTGCTTAGATCTGGCCGCTCTGGAAACAGCGAAGAACCAGCCTGCAGTCCCTCTGCCAACTGAAACAGAGCTCGGGAGGGCCGCACGCAGTTGGCAGAGGGTTGCAGGAGGCCGTCGTGGCAGGAAATGGAGTTTGGGAGTCCGTTTTCACTGCAGAGTGCTCGGGCCGCCATAGGCGCCGACACGAGTGACTTCAAACTTGTCCATGCCTCCCTGGCCACACGCCCTCCAAAGTCAAACACAACCCTGATGCGGCCTTCAATGAAATAGAGCAGTGTTGGCGAACCTTTTTGGCAGCAAGTGCCGAAACGGGAGCATGTGTGTGTGCGCGTGCATGTGCCCACATGTGCCACAAACCGGAGGAGCAGCTGCCCGGAGCACCTGGAGGAGCAACGGATGACAGCTCGTGTGCCCGGAGATATGGCTCTGCGTGCCACTTCCGGCACACATGTCATAGGTTCGCCGTCACGCAAATAGAATTTGACACCCCTGTTCTAGATCATGGGGCGTCCAACCTTGGCAAATTGCCGCCCGGTGAATTCTGGGAGTTGGAAGTCCACCGGTTTTTAACGTTGCCAAGATTGGTCACCTCTGTCTTCGATTGGTAACGGTTGAGTCTGAAGAACTGGCAGATGCTCGTCGCGTTTAAGGGAGAAAAGCTGAAGTCTGATGATCTGTTCCAGAACGTGCCCTCAGGTGTCAGCAAAGAGGGCATCTCACTGCCCTGAGAAAGGAAAGGGCAGGAAAGATGCAAAAAGCAATTGTAAATTCATTGGGTTTGGCACAGCTGACAATCTGAGAAAAGGAGAGTTCTAAAAATGCTCAAACTACTGCCCAGCTTCTTCCAGAACCGTTTCGAAATTCTAACAATATACCCAACGAGGCTACCGTTATCTTCGAAACAACCAGATAGCTGCAGGTAATCCTTGACTTACAACCATTCGTTTAGTGACCGTTTGGAAGTTACAATGGTACCAAAAAAAGGTGAATGGTCCTCCCACTTACGACCGCCGTTAACACCTCCAGGGTCGTGGGATTAAAATTCAGGCGCTAGGCAACCAGTATGAATTTGTATGACGGTTGCACCGCCTCGAGAATGGGGCGTGTCACGTGATCGCCAGTTGTGACCTTCCCAGCTGGCTTCTGACCAGCCGAGTCAATGGGGAAAGCTGGATCTGCTTAATGACTGTGCGTTTCACTTTTAACAACCGGGGCAAGAAAATTGGGAGCAGCTCAGTGCACCGCCATTTCCCCTCAGCGACAGAAATTCTGCCTCCAATTGCGGTCCGTAAGTCAAGGACTACCTCTAATGGCGTATCTCCTCCAAGTCTTTGTGTGAACTTGCATAATTCCATTTTCGCGTGAAGACATTTGAATTCTCTGCCGAGCGATTTGATGAAATGATGATTGCTGAACATTCTGAATGACTTCACTGAACTTTGGGGTTCAGTTGCCGAGCCTTACTCCGGCTCCTTACAGTTCATGAACTAATATAGATTCATATATATATCTATATATATCTATATATATATTTATTTATATTTATATAAAGGATTTACACGATTCCCAAATACTTTAAAATATATAAAAAATTTAATAAATAACCCTGACCAGTCTTAAAAGCACCATTCCAGGGTAGAATTCCCCTTAGAAAATAGATTAGGTGTTGCATATTTGAGTCCCTTTTTTGCAGTGGCTTCAATGTGAAACCCCTTCCGATAAACGACGAAAAAAAAAAAAAAAAAAGAAGTCACAGTAAACTTAACGTATATTTCAAATAAGAGATATCCGCCGAAAGATAAAGCTCAAACACACCCTCGTTTCCCCACCCACCCCCAGCCCTTGATGTAAAAGAAAAGAAATCCTGCGGCCTTCCTATATGGTAGAGCTCAGAACAACTGCTTCAGATAACACAATTCTATTTAAGAACAGAAGGAAAAAATCTCCTTGATGTCTTCCATTTATCCTGCGAGTTTGTAAGGGACTTGAGAAAAAAAATAATAAAAAATAAAATCAGTTCAGGCTGAACAAGCGTGCATACCAAAGAGAAGGCTGAGATAAAATCTTCACTCTCTGCCCTTGATAACCTTCAGCCTTCTCCAATCTTACGTTGGACTTCAATTTCCCTGCTTCCCAGCCAACCGAGTAGAAGCTTGGTGGGGACGATGGGAATTTTTACACCCAACGAATCTGAGCACTTGGGTAAATACCTGGTACGACTGGTTGGTTCTTTCTCAGTCCCACTTCGGAATGGAGCAGGGGAGCAGAGGTCCAGGATGAACCGTGGTTTAAGAGATGAGGTGTGATGAACCTGATCTCACTTTTGGCCAGGATTTCCAAGTTAATTTCTCCTGTGAAACATGCGTGCGATATATATGAAAAGGTGAAGACTATTGCAATTCCCTAAATCTCCTTGTCTTGCGGCAAATTTTCTAAAACTATCCTTCCTGTCACTAGAAAGCATTCATTCTTGAATACAGAACCAATTGTGAGGTGTTCTGTTGCTTTTAAAAAAAAAAACAAACCCACTTATTTACAAAGCTTTCCCCACCCACAACACACCTTAGTTTATTTACAAGCTCAATAGAAATTATATGGAAGAGTTAAACTGGTTAGGAAAAAAAAAAATTCAGTTGCTATTTAAAACCACAAACATTAGCAAAAGTATAAAAATTCGTTTTCACAGTATGTAAATAGGTTAAAACATATAAACAAAGGACATTGTCACTATTTTATTTTTCACATTGTCTACGTAGCTAAAAAAGGTAGATTAAAGAGACTCAAATTATGAACCAATTTTCTACGATTTCACATATCGAAACCCCAAGTTCCATATAGCTGTCTCGCTGACTTCCTTAATTCCTGCGTTATTAGCAATGAAATGAACTTGCAATTCTGGATTAATTTAAACACTGTCAAGTCAGCAGTACAACTTGGCTCCCTGCATGCTTTGCACCTAGGTGAGGATAAGGTCCGAGCTTCAAAAGAGTAAGAAGGTGTACGCCCCACACATTGTAATGGAAACACGGTGCAAAAAGGCACGATTTAGGGATTGTGGCTAGATTTGAGGCCTGTCACCTTGCAGTATTCCGGGGGAAACAGTAGAGCAAAATCTGAGGAAGACGCACGAGGGCTGCTTCGCACAATGCATTTTGTGCAAAGGGCCAGTCACGGGTATCTGGAAAGCTCAACACAACTGCTTATTTTGCTGCTGAGGCTTTGCGCAGAATGGTTCACCCACCCACCCCTTCTAACGCTGATGATGTTAGCTAGTTGGGTCGTGAAACGTCTGTAGGGAAACACCTAAGCTCAGAGAGCACCGAAGTCCCCAACAGTCCAACCCTGAGCTACAAATATTCTCCTCTTCTATCAGTAGAATCGTTCGTCTCAACTTTTCAGCAGCTGGAAATTGTAGGACTTGAAATCCTTAACAAGGGGTAGAGTGGCCGGCTAAAATAACTACAGTTATCTGCTATTAGAGAGTCAACCTGAATGCAGCAAGATTGGTGCAGCTTCTGAAACACACTTAAGGCAGCGTTTCTCAATGGTGACCATTTCAAGGTGCCTGGACTTCAATTTCCAGAATTCACGCCGGCTGGGGAATTCTGGGAGTTGAAGTCCAAGCATCTTAAAGTGGCCAAGGTTGAAAAACACTGGCGTCAGGAATGGGGAAAGGGGGATATGGACCATGTTATGACAGGAGTGAGGAATTAAATTAGTCAATATTATTAAAATTTCCAGATATTTTTCTTCCCTGCGGACGTTTGGTCTGTGCTGGATGTTTGCCTGGTGGCAGAACCAGAGCAGAAATTCACTGTATACATCCTGCCCTGCCACGCTTTTAAATCTTACTGAAAACTGTTGAAAAATACGTTGATTTAACTTTATGCAGGTCCTTGGCTTCCTACAGTTGCCATCTCCGATGAAGCTCTCTGATTTATACAGTACTATATTATGGCTTGATCATTTTTTTTAACCCTAGCAAAGAGGAAAAGAACCTATCAGCACAAGCAAGCATACGAAGGAAGGACTGAAAAAAAACCTTTTAAAAGAAGGCTGTCATCGGATGGGCAAACGCTTAGGCGGGTTAACACTAACTATGCCCCCCCCCCCGAGTTATGAAATCTGCATAATTAAAAAAAACAAGGTAGACCTTTTGGATACATCACTCTTTGGTAAACTCAAACCAGCTCAAGTTTACAGCTTAAAAATAAACAAACAAACAGTATTTGATACCTCGGAAGGAAGGACCGAGAGAGGGCTAAGACCGCAGAACAGAAAATTAACCGTACTCTTTTTTTTCACCCCCCTTTAATCCCGACTACTATGGATTAAAGGCATTAAAGGCACCGCAACAGAGGTTTGCCGTAAAAAGGTCGGGATTAATTTACGCAGCTGGACTTTTTGTTAAGAAAACCTCGGCAAAGCAATTAAAAAACCGGTTTTGTTCCTTGGGCGGAAAGGTAGGTCTTAAGAAGCGTTAAGAGGATGCCTGAATGGACACCGATGCCCTCGCGGAAGCCTGGGAACCGAAGTTGCCCTATGGAAGTGTGAAAATCGCTTTTTTTTTGTTTTTTTTTTCTTCTGGTGCCCATTGTGGGCATCTTGCCAATTCCACCTTGCCAGAAACCTGTAATCTTTCTCCTCCCAGCAAAGGTAAAGGTAGAGGTTTCCCTGTCCAGTCGTGTCCGAGTTTAAGGTGCGGTGCTCGTCTCCGTTTCTTGGCGGAGGGAGCCAGCGCTGTCCGAAAACATTTTCCATGGCCATGGGGCCAGCGTGGCTGTACGACATAGGCGCACAGAACGCTGTGACCTTCCCACCGAAGTGGTACCTGTTTATCTACTCACATCGGCATGCTTTCAAACCGCTAGGTGGGCAGAAGTGTCCTGCCCCCATTGTACACTACAGGTTGGCCTCGACATTTCAACAGTTTGCTTACTGACCGTTTGAAGTGATAACGGCGCTGGTAAAAGTGACTTACGACCGTTTCTCACAGTTACGACAGTTGCAGCATCCCTCTGGATCAAAATTCGGACGCTTTGGACAGCTGGCTCATATTTATATCGGTTGCAGTGTCACAACCACACACACCTCTCTTCCTTTCGCGACCTTCTGACAAGCAAAGTCAACGCAGAAGCCAGATTGACTTAACAGCCTCGTTAATAACCTAACAATTGCGGGAATTCACTGAATAACGGTGGTAAAGGGAAGTCGTCAAATGGGGCAAAATTCACTCAACAACGGTCTCGCTTAGCAACTGAAATGAGGGGCTCAATTGTGGCCGTAAGTCTGTAATTTCTGCCTGTAATTTCCTGATGTCCAAAGGAGATGAAGGGAGGGCAGAAGAAAAGAGGAGGAGACACGCAATAAATATATGGAAGTTTGTTTGAGGGTGAGCGGGCTCTTTGGATCCCAAAGGCCGGGAAAAAAGGAAATAAAAGAGCTGGTTTGAGATGGTGACAGAAGAAAGTATCTCTAAGAGAGGTTGAAGAGGAAGAGGCTGATTATATATATATATACTTGTTAGTTTTAACTCCACTCACGGAGTAGACGTGATGTACTGCAGATTTTTGTCACACTGCTGTAACGACACATTTCCCTCTGAAACACTGCAAAGATCTATTCTCTGCTTTCCTTAAAGTCTAAGATATATAAATAAATAGCAAAGCTGTCATCTTGATGACCCCTGCGGAACCAGCAGTATTTTTTTGAAACCCGCAATTCGGGGGGAAAAAAAAAATGGCAAGATTGTAGATGTCGCCTGCACTCCCTTTGAAAGGTAATTTTCAGGGCCCTCCTGTCTTAGCTTTCCTCTGCATTAGCCCAGCTGTGTTCAGTGTTTCAGTGTTTAAAACCCCGATAGATATTCACGTTATCTCTTTTGACAGGGCGCCTCGGCGGAATGGAGAATCCCGCCGGCGGATTACGGCCCCTCATTTGAGAAAAGCCAGGCCTTTAAAAAAAACAAAAAAATTCACAGTTGTGAGAAGCTTTAAGGAGTCACCCTGGAATTAAAAGCGAAGGCTCAGATTGAAATGTAACAGCGTGCACGACGATATAAAAAAAAAAATCCTTAAAATCGGCGAAGTGGTCATGCAATCCTCCAGGCTTGGCAGAGAGAGAGAGGTGGAGAGGCAGGACATCCGTCTGTCCCACCCCTGTTCAAGCAGCATATATTGGGAAGATTGGAGAAACCGTAGTTTCGTTTAACTAGGAATAGCATGGCCGTGCTGCCATGGGTTATAGGCACATAGAAAGAGAAAACTGGAGTTCTGAGTCCCAAAGTTGTTTTTTCAAGAAGGAACTGGGACTTTCTGAAAACCAAAGAAGTCCAACAGCCTCTTGAAAAGGCATCTTTGGGACAATCAGGACCTGGACGACGGAGAAGCTCCATAGACACCGGAGTCCCGAGCACCCTTCAAACCAAGCACCATCCATCTTTCCTTCTGCTCAACCTAGTTAACCCTACTGTCTACGCCTCTGTATCAGAAATCGAAGCCGCCACTAATAATCCCAGCAAAAGGAGAGCAATTCGGGAGACTCAAGTTTCCCGTAAAAGCGAAAACACCGATCAAAACGCCGCTCATTCCGCTGAACGTCAACATGCTTTAAAACGATTGAACGAAATCCGTCATTTTCCCCGCTGTATAGAATTCTTTTTTTTTAATACAGTCAAGTTTGCCAGCTTATGCTCTTTTGAGGTCTGTTTCAGGAAAGCAAAATCTTAAGCGGGAAGGTAAAAAGGTTTTACTACCAGTTTAAAAGTTTCACATTTTCTACGCTGTAGGTTAAGGGGGAAGAAAAAAGTTAGCACCACTTTTGAAAAGTTATCAAACATCTGAAAAGCAGAGAAAACAGGATATTTGTTATTGGCTCTCCTGTGAAAAATACTGATTTAGCCACTGTTACGGAGAAGCTAAAAGAAGCCTCTCTAATACAATAAGATATATTGCTCATTGTTTCCCATATAATATCATTACAAAAAAAGTTTTTTTAAAAAATCAACTGTTTCATTTGAAAACACTTAAGTATGAAGGTTAAGGTGTACCTGAAGAGGTCCATTACAAATACTGCACTGAAATATTGTAGATTCAAATACAACATCCTTTTTTTTAATCCACTGTTAAGCTGACCGTTTGAACCATCCAGAGCGATTAATGTAAAACATGATTTTAACCTGATCTGCCTTTTTACAGTACGAAATGAAGGTAGATTCTGAGGAGAGTAAAAAATAGTTAAAACCACAATCCTATATTCTGTGTGGGCTAATACAACAATACATTTTTTTTAGTTCCTATAAAAATGGGGGAGGTCAGCACCAAAGTTGTCCAGTTTGGGATTCTGGACAAAAAAAACGCCCCAAATTAATACGTTTATGGCATTTGGTTTTTATACGCTATGGAGCAAAGTTATAGTAAAAAAAAAAGTTATACTTTGCTTGCTTCCAGACATCATATTTGCACAAAGTGAAAAAAACTAACCAACCAATGTTTCTTGAACAAAATCCTGGCTGGGGGACTTACAAGTTTGAAAGCCTTATCGTCAACAGGGTTCTTTTTAAAATTTATTTAAGATATTCTACATTCACCCCTCACCAACCAGAAGAGGAAAAAAAAACCCCGAACCTTTTATAAGTGTTTATATATACCGTATTTTTCGGAGTATAAAATGCACCTTTTTCCCCCCCTAAAAGGGGAAAAATTTAGGTGCGTCTTATACACCAAATGTAGCCCCGCCCACCCACTGGCCCTCACTCTTTGGCCTCTGCCTCGCAGCAGTTACTTCCTTGCAAGCAAACAGCAAGAAGAAACAGCTCCTTTCAGCTTCAGCACAGCCTAATTAGCACAAGTTGATTGGATTGGCCTCCCGACTCTCAGCTGATTTGCTCTCAGCTGTTTTGCGCAGGGCTCTGCTGCTTGCTGCCAAGAGGTAAATTGCTGGAGCAGATTTTTTTTCCCCTTGTGCTAATCAAGCTATGCTGAAAACGAAAAAGAAAGTAAAGCAGGCTGTTTGCTGCAAGGAGGCACAATTGTTCAGAGGCAGGAGGAGATTTCTTTTTCTTCTTTTCCTCACCAAAAAAGGTAGGTGCATCTTATACGCCGAAAAATACGGTATATATATATATATATATTATATAAAATTCAAAGCTATCAAAATAGTTATTCCACAAAGAAAAGAAACAAACTAACAAAAAAAAACTTTCTTGAACCCACGTTGTTATATGACAAAATAAAACGAGCGCAGCTGAGAGGCATATGTATATCTTTTGAGCTATGCCACTTTGATCAAATTGAAATAAAAGTCCTAACTGAATACAAGACTCACATCCAAGGAAGCCTGCCTGCTCGTGGGCTCCCCAGAACGCGACGCGTTGGTGAATAAGCCTGCACTGTCCCTGTTGTCATCACATCTTTAGCTGACAAAGCTCGCCCCGCCATCGGCGAGCACGTCATTTCCCTAGATGGTATATTGGGAGTAAAGCTCACCCTGCTTTTTTTTTTCTTGCAAACGAAACAAGCAGGGTTTTGCTCCGGAGACACACCCGCAAGGACGACTAAAATTTAGGAGGGGGGGAAAAAAAAAACCAACCCATTATAACTGGTGAAAGCGATCGAAGGAACAAAGAAGGAACGTGTGCTTTGCTCGAGTTGCGTGGAGAGAGGGAAACGGCCTCAGGTGTTTTTAATCGGGGGTGTGCACATCCATGGTATAATCCAGAGTCTCGGGCGCGGAAGCATCGTCGTCTCTCTGTTCCATGTAGACTTCTGTTCTTTCGGGCGATTCCACCCGGCTTCGGATTTCGGCCACGCCGGGATGATTCTTCCTCAAGTGCTGGTTCAAGGTCCCTTGGAAAGGGAAGCACTTCCCGCAGACTTCGCAGCGGAAAGGCTTGTCGTCGGTGTGGCCGCGGATGTGGTACTCCAGCTGATCCTTGCGGGTGTATTTCTTCCCGCAGTACTTGCACACGAAAGGCGTGATGCCCATGTGTAACCTCATGTGCCGATCGAGGCTGCCCTTCTGGTTGAAGGACTTCCCGCAGTAGATGCAGATCAGCCGTTCGCTGTAGGCGTACCAGTGGCCTCTGGAATTCCTTTCCCGCGGGCCGCTCTCGTAGCCCGGCTGATGGGCGGAAGGCTCGCCGTCGGTTCCCGACACCAGGCTGGAAATGTCGCTGTGCAAGTGGCTGGTGGAGATTCGCTTTTGACGGCCACGGCCTCGGTAGGAGCCGAGCATAGACCTCGAATTGCCGGAGCTCCTCAGGCTGCTGAAGGATTCGGAGACGTTAGCAGACTGCGAGGTTCCCTGGGAATACGAGAAAGCATTTTGCAAGACGGAGCCGTACGACCCCACGTTAACGGCTACCACTTGTTCTCCGTCCACCATTTCCGTGTGGTATCCGTCGTCGCCAAGTGAAGAGCTATCCGAGCAGCTGGGCCGGTCGGATTTTTCCATTTTGACTTTCACCTCGGCAGCTTGGCTCTCTCTAATGATCAGCTCCGCTTGCTCGTGGTCTCCTTCGACTTGAATCTCGTATTCCGAAACGCTACCGCTACTACCCCGGTCCGAGTGGCCTTCTTCTTGCAGGCGGCCGCGGAGAGCGTTGACCGGTGTCGTTTCCATTCGGAGATCATTCCCTGAAGCCGGTGGGCGGCCCTGAGCGCAGTAGGGAGGAGGGGAAATCTCAATGGGGTTGGCAAAATAGCCGCTCTCCTTCATGCCGTTGTGGTTCTCCAAGGGATCCTCGGCGCCGATCGTCACCGAGTCAACTTCCCCGACGCTGATTTTCGAATGGATGCTTTCCAGGATCTGAGTGCACTTGTCGATGACGCACTGCATCTGGAGAAAGCTGGCTGCGGTGAGGAAGCTGACCACGTCCTTCAGCTGCAGAGACATCCTTCCAGTGTAGCAAAAAGAAAGCAACTGCTCGAAGACGCTGGGGTTTTTAATGACGGAGATTGACAAGCCACTCATGGTGTTCAACGCCGAATGGTCGCGGAAGTAGGGAGAGCTGGCGGCTAAGACAGCCTTGTGAGCTCTGAACGGCTGGCCCTGGATGTGCACGACGATGTCGCAAAGCTTGCCCTGCAGGCGGAGTTCGTTCAGCTGGCTCAGGACGCTGCTGCTGTACTCGGGAACGTCGAACTGGATGAAGCTGCTGCTGTCCATGTCTCCTGGCCCAAGGTGTAACCTGCAAAAAGGACACAAAAGCAGCGTTCACGAAATCAGAATTCAAAATGCACGGCTTGCTTTGGGGGGGGGGGGAAGAAAGAAAAAGAAAATGAGCCACCAGCCGTTTGGGGCCAGGGATGTGATTTTTAACTTGGCACCGCATATGATCTGCAAGTTGATGAGAATAAAAATACAAGAGGTGGCAAGTTTTACCCGGGATTCAAAAGAACAAATTACATTCATGAGACATGGCACATTTGGAGCTGCGCGAAATAGGGGGGAATTAATTCCTCTAACACGGAGTCGCTTGATTAGGGGAGGGGCTGCAGTTTGGTACCGCAATCTCCTAGAACATCGGCATGACTTATCTCGCATGAGCCAGAACTATTCATACGTCTTCAAATTAGCACATTGAGCCTCTTCTTCAAATACCGGGAATTAATAAAACCCGTTAGAAGTTGAGCTGGCTGTGTACTAAGAATGCAAAAAAACAGAGGAACTAATTTATTTGTTACATTTATTTGCTGCCTATCTCGCTCTACATTGTCTGAAAGGAGGCTGAATGGCCAGCTGACCCCCAAGTACTGTTGATGTACACTAACAGGTCACGCAACATTAAGAGGCAAAGAATCTTGCAATTTCCTTCCTTCTCGTGACTCCAAAACAGAATTTCTCAACGATTTGAACCATCTTAGTAGACAGAAGAACAACTTATGTCAAACTTTTTGCTGCAGTTTTCCCCAAACCCTTCCACACAAAAGCCATCCCTTTAAAAAAATAAAATAAAATATAACAGAGATAAATCAGAGAAAAATTGGCAATAATTTCTCTGCCGAACCACTGGAGATATGACTTGGCTCACATCGCTGATAATCAGTGATAGCAAACTTACTAATTGGGATGGAATTTAATTTCTTGTCTCATCTTCCAGTGTGGGTGCAGCCTCATCTATCTGAATCTTGAGATAAAAAAAAAAAAGATGATCTCATTTTTATTCTGGCCACCTCACTGTTTAAAGAAGCATACATTAGCAGCCTCTCCAAGCTGAGGCCTTCAGTTGTTTTTCACTGTAATTCCCCGGAATCTTAATCAGCAATCACTTTGAACTCTGGAAATTGTATTCAATATATCTCAAAAAGCAGCAAGGTGTTTCCATTACGGAATAAGGACATGTATGCAAAAAAAGAAAAGAAAAGAAAAAGAAAAAGCATTATAATTTTAGAATGAAGGATTTCATAACAGCACATTTTGGTTTTTGCAGAGTCCATATGAACAAATCAATGTCCACAGTAGATAAAGCAACCTTGAACGTATGGACCTTGCTTTTATTTAAACTTCCACATATTTTACAAGTCCGTAAATACCATTTCTAGGCCTATAAAGCAGAGAACATATCCCGTCTACACACGTCAGCACAGGCAGATGCCCATAAACCGAACTTTAAAATGGTATGTGTGAGCCATCGCTGTGAAGAAAGAATCACCTTCACATGACAAAGGAGAAGGATGGTTGATTATCTGGAGCTAGTCCTGTTAAGCTATTATATGTACAAGTTAGGTGTTGTTCCTGGTTGTGAAGTCGTGTCCGACCCATCTCAACCCCATGGACAACCTTCCTCCAGGCCTTCCTGTCTTCTACCATCCTCTGGAGTCCATTTAAGCTCACGCCGACTGCTTCAGTGACTCCATCCAACCACCTCCTTCTCTGTTGTCCCCTTCTTCTTTTGCCCTCCATCCTCACTCCATCTCCAGGGAGCCCTTCCTTCTCATTAGGTGGCCAAAGGATTAGAGTTTCCTCTTCAGGATCTGGCCTTCTAAAGGGCAGTCAGGGTTGATCTCCTCTAGGACTGACCGGTGGATCGCCTTGCAGTCCAAGGGACTCGCGGGAGTCTTCTCCAGCACCAGAGTTCAAAGGCCTCCATTCTTTGGCACTCAGCCTTCCTTATGGTCCAACTTTCACAGCCATCCATTGCAACTGGGAACACCATCGCCTTGACTATGCGCACTTTTGTTGGCAGGGTGATGTCTCTGCTTTTTAGTGTGCTAAAGTTAGGTGTGGATAGGCCAGTTAGCGACTTTATTTTTGCACTTGCAAAATTGCTAAAACGTGAAAAGCACTATTCTGCGCTATTAAACCAGATGGTTTTATCCATCATTATCCATGATCTGTGTTGATGTTTTCATATAGGAAAAGATTCAATGTAATTTTTTCAGTTCAGTAATATTGATAGACTGAAAAAAGTACATTGAATCTTTCTTACATAAATACATCAACAAAGAATAGCTGTTCGAAGTGAAGGACAGCACTGAAAATAGGGGATATGACTGTTTTTTTCACACTTACGACTGTTGCAGCGTCCCCATGATCAAGATTCAGATGCTTGGCAAATGACCCATATTTATGACGGTCGCAGGGTCCGGGGTAATGTGATTTCCCCCCCCCCACTTTTGTGATCTTCTGACCAGCAAAGACAATAGGGAAGCCAGATTCACTTAACAATCAACAACCACTTCTTGTCACCAAGAATTGCAGTGATTCACTTAACAAATGGGAGAAACTCACTTAACACGTCTCACTTAGCCACATACATTTTGGGCTAAATTGTGGTGGTCGGTTGAGAGCTACCTGTACAGTTTTCTTTATGTACCTTATCACCACCTCAGTTTCTCTACAGCTGTCTATAAAGGATCTCACTTCCACACCAAGCCTTTAAGTAAGTCAAGACTAATCGACAGCATCAGATAAACCTTAGTAAAGAAAGGAGCCTGGATAGTTCAGCAGACTAATGGATTGTAATTTAACTCCAGCTGTCTGCAATTAAAGTAAGTTCAAATCTTGCCAGGCTCAAGGTTGACTCAGCCTTCCATCCTTTCTAAGGTAGGTAAATTGAGGACCCAGTTTGTGGGGGCAATAAGCTGACTTTGTAAAAATATACAAAAGTATGAAGGCTATTGCTTAACGCATTGTAAGCCGTCCTGAGTCTCCGGAGAAGGGCGGCATATAAATCATTTTTTTAAAAAAAATGGGTAGGAGGTACAAAGAAAACCAACGGGTGCCTGAAAAGGGAAGCCACGTGCAACTTTACGACAACAACGAGTAACTACTCCTGGGATGTGAGAGCATTAACAAGGCCTGGAAGTTAGAAGGGTGTATCAAATGTTCCCATGTCAGATTTTTAATATCTATAAATGTTGAGACTTCAATGCCATTAACAGTCCCTCTTACGACTGGCTCTGCCTCACTCTGTCGCTTTTTCCCCCCGATGTAAAACTCAAATCTGTGGGAGGTTTATAAACAAAATTCTACCTATCATCCATTGCTGCATTCTTCTCTTTATTCCCCCATCGCTTCGGAACAGCCTCACCTATTAGTAAGGTAAAGGTTCCCCTTGCACATATATGCTAGTCATTCCTGACTCTAGGGGGCGGTGCTCATCTCCGTTTCAAAGCCGAAGAGCCAGCGCTGTCCGAAGACATCTCCGTGGTCACGTGGCCGGCATGACTCAACGCCAAAGGTACACAGAACGCTGTTCCTTTCCCACCAAAGGTGGTCCCTATTTTTCTACTTGCATTTTTTTTTACGTGCTTTCGAACTGCTAGGTTGGCAGAAGCTGGGACAAGTAAACGGGAGCTCATCCTGTTACGTGGCGCTAGGGATTCGAACCGCTGAACTGCCGACCTTTTGATCGACAAGCTCAGTGTCTTGGCCACTGAGCCATCACATCCCTTACACAGCTCTTAGTATCCAGTCTTTTTTAGCAGCAAGTTCCAAACCGCCGCCAAGGTAACAATTTCCAGACCAAAGCACGGGCCCCTCCAACTAGACAGAAGGGAAAGGAGACCCTATAGTATAGAAAGGTTTCACTAAACAAATATCCCAGACTTTATTAGCTGCCCATATCTCAACAAGAGACTCCAGAGTGGTGAACAATATCAAATAATAAAAAAAAAAAATTGGAGTGTAGAAAGCCTAGCAGCGGTGCAGTACTTAAGTAAACCTACCTCAGGACCAAGTATTGTCAGATGAGCTGGCATCCGTATACCTGCCTTCATATATATATATATATATATATATATATATATATATATATATATATATATGCATATATATATATATATATATATATATATATATATATATATATGCATATTCTTCTAGCCAGGTTCCACCTATGTAAGCTAAGTTGTGGAACCTGCCTAGAAAGAATATGCACATAAAAGCCTATGAAAAAAGAAAAAGACATATCTATCTATCTATCTATCTATCTAACTATCTATCTATCTACCTATCTATCCCTTGGCTTCTAGGCAGGTGCCTTCCCCACTACCCCTAGCTGGCTCTGGGTGGAAGAGGAGGTTCTACAATACGTCACTTGGGGACCCAGACAAGAGGGCAGGGCTGCAAACTAATGAATGCCACTGAACTAGAAAGTGGGTGAACGTGAGTTCTAGTCCCACTTTTAAGCATGAAAGCCGGTTGGGTGACTTTGGGCCAATTGCTAGGTGATGGTGAGGTTCTAGTCCCACCTCAAGCATAAAAGTCAGTTGGGTGACTTTGGGCCAATCGCCAGGCGACGGTGAGTTCTAGTCCCACTTTATGTATGAAAGCCATCTGGGTGACTTTGGGCCAATCCCCAGGCGACGATGAGTTCTAGTCCCGCTGTGAACATGAAAGCCCTCTGGGTGACTTTGGGCCAATCACCAGGCGACAGTGAGTTCTAGTCCCGCCTTAGGCATGAAAGCCATCTGGGTGGCTTTGGGCTAGCCCCTCCCTCCCTCTCTTCCAGCCCAGCCCACCTCACAGGGTTGTTGTTGTTGTGGGGGAAGGAGGAGGAGGAGGAGGCAGCCACTGCATTGTCTGCCCTGAGTTACTTCATAAAGCAATGAAGGCAGGATAGAAATAAAATAAAAAATAAAATAAAATAAAATAAAATATCCCTCGAGGGAAGGGAAGGGGCCGCCTGAATAGGAAGAAGCCGGAAAGAAAAGGAGCCCTGACAGCCGGCCTCCCTTCTCCCGCCTCACCTGAGGGGCGTCGGGGTCTCCTCACATGGCGGGCCCGCCGGAGGGAGCTCGGCCCTGGCCCGAGTGCTGCTTTCCCCCCGGCCGCCGCCGCCAGCGCCGCCGCTTTCCCCCCTCAGCCAGCGGCACCCGGAAGCGAACCCTTCCTGATAGGGCGGGGGCCGGGGGGGGGAGGGAGGGAGAAGGAAGCGCGGTTCCGCTTCCGGGTCGCCAATAGGCGGTGGGCGGGGAGAGCGTGAAAAAAAAAAAAAGGAAGCGCCGGGGACACGCCCCTTCGAGGGAGGGGCGCGGCGAAAAAGGAGAAAGCGCATGCGCGCGAAGTGATAGCCTCGCACCTCTATTCCCTTGCGCCCCTAGTGGACGTTTTGTTGAGCTGCTCCCAGCAGATCTGAAACTTAATCCGGATTTTGCGTGAAACCTAAATCCTGAAGTGGCTCGATAATATAATAAATTATTAATAGAATAAATAAATTATTATAATAAATATAATAATGTAGTGTGGTGTGGTGTAGTTAGAACTAAGGAGAAATTTGCTGACAGAGCAATGGATCAGTGGCACAATTTGCCTCCAGAATTTGTAAATGCTTTTTAAAAAGTTTTTAAGAAGAGGTTGGACAATTATTTGTCTGAAGTGGTGGAGGGTTTCCTGCCTAAGCAGGGGGTTGGACTAGAAGACCTCCAAGGTCCCTTCCAACTCTGTTATTCTATTTTAGTATAGTATAGTATAGTGGTTTAGTTTTCAATGTTTTAAATTTTTGGGCCACAGTTATATAATTCTTTTAATAATTTTAAATTTTGTATTGGTATGTGTTTTAGTTCTGGCTGTGCACCACCCTGAGTCCACTAGGAGAAGGGTGGGATATAAATTGAATAAATAAATAAATAGTATAGTATAGTATAGTATAGTATTATAAGATAAGATAATGATATATATGATATGATATGATATTTTGCAGGGGCTGTGCACCGCCCTGAGTCCACTAGGAGAAGGGCGGTATACAAATTGAATAAAATAAATAAATAAAATAAATATAACGATATGATATGATATATGATATAATATAATACCTATACTATACTATACTATACTATACTATACTATAATATACTATAATATACTATAATATATGAAATAATAATTGAGTGGATAAAAGTTAGGTTCAAACCTCAGCGTATTTCAGGTCAGTTTCCTTTTAGAATAGAATAGAATAGAATAGAATAGAATAGAATAGAATAGAATAGAATAGAATAGAATAGATGAAATAATAATTGAGAGGATAATGGTTAGGTTCAAACCTTAGTGTATTTCAAGCCAGTTTCCTTTTCTTGGGGAGGATGGCATCGAATCCACCTGCACAAGAGGTATTATAGGTTCTTGCATAAATCCGAATTTTTTGGGGGTGGGGGAACGGGGGTCAAGAGATGATGCTGTCCTCAATTGCAATGACCCACGGTCATCCGGGATCCAAGCTGTTCTGTCCTCCTTCAGAGACACAGAAACGAGCATGGTAGAGCATAGATCAATACAGGTTTTTTAAAAAAATTGGTTACACTGATCAACGTGCGTTTTATTCTCCTCTCCCCCTCTTCTTTTTTTGTGTGGTTTTCTTTTGTTTAGGGAAAAGGCATTTTCATCAGATTGGGTTTGCCACAACTTCCTGTTGCTACGTGAGAATGCTGTCAAGTGAATTCTCTCTCCCCCACCCCCCAATTTTTTCATCTTTCCTGCCCTGGTGGTTAAATAAGTCACTGCGGCTGTTAAGTGAGTCACACGGTTGTTAAGTGAACAACTGACTTCCTCCTCTTGGAAGGAAGGTTGCAAAAGGGAATGACCTCGGGACGCTGCGCCCATCATAAATAAGAACCGTATGCCAAACATCCAGATTTTGATCAGGTGGCCCTGGAGATGCTACAACGGTCATAAGTGTGAAAAAAACACTACTAAGTCCCTTTTTTTTCGGTGCCCCTGTTAACTTCAGTCACTAAACGAATGGTTCTTGAGCATTTACTATGCAAATCATACATGGTGACCTACACAGCACTGCACCTTGATTCCCACAAATTATGGCTCAGCATCTGGAATGAACCTCTCTTCTTTTTCTGACCCCTTTGGTGGATGCAAAATCCGAGTTTTTTCCTTCGGCTGACACCCGCCCCCCACTTCCCCTCTGCGGGGCTGTGGAGTTAATTGAAAGCCTTTTTTATTTTGGGGAGGTCTGGCTGGGTAGGTGGGCGTCTAAAGTTTATGAACTGATTCAGCCCAGCATCATGTTCTTAGAATCATAAACCTCTTCTTGACTTTTGGATTCCCAGGAGAGATTTGGGGATGGGATGGGCTTAATACATTCACGAGTCATTCTGCCTTGACAAATTAAGGTACAAGTGAGTAATGCGGCAGGGTGTTTATATTTGTCGACCTCTGTGCTGTGGGCTCTTTATTATCTTTTGGGGTAGGATAATAAAAAACAAAATCTGCTTTTTGTAAAAAAAAAAAAAGTTTTTAAAAAAGCAGCATGCAGGCTTTTTGTGTCGCTGCAATGTCCACAAGAAAAAAAAAATGGTTAGGGAATTATAGATGTCAACTGGTGCCAATTTCTTGGAAGAGATCTATAACAATTAAATGGTTTTTTAATTGGGATTTTAAATTTTATGGATTTGGGGTTTTAAATTGGGTAGCCAGTGATTTAATTTTTTTTTAATTATCTTAACTGTTGCATTTGTATGTTTTTTAATTTCGGCTGTTCACCGCCCTGAGTCCCTTCTGGGAGAAGGGCGGTATACAAATTAAATTAATAAATAAATAAACAATTATTGGAAAAATACATTTACTCACATACTCATCGGCTTTCCCCTCATGTAAATTAGGGAGTGACCCTAACGGTTTGAGATCATGTATTTTCATAACGGGGACGTTATTATTCACGATTGATGTCAGTATTATTTTTAATTTATTGTATGTCTATTGCTGGTTGATGACCCTAATAAGGTATTTATTCTTCTGTTTTTCTATGGCACGCAGGCTTTTTAAAAAGAAGACTTTTCTTCCTTCCAGATCGAGAAGTCATGAATTGGAGTGCATGTGTTTTAACGTTTTTAAAGTTTTAATGTTTTTCTTTTAACATTTTTTATGGGATTGTTCACATTGTTTTATTCTTAGTTGTAAGCCGCCCAGAGTCCCTTGGGAGTTGGGCGGCGTAGAAATGCGACAAAATAAATAAATAATAAATAAAGTATGGATAAATAAAGTTCATTGTTGTTATATATAGGTGGAGCTTGACTTACAACATTCGTTTAATGACCGTTGAAAGTTACACCAAAAGCAGTTCGTTTATAGTGTCTGGTCAAAGCGCTGAAAAATGTGACTTGGGAACGTTTTTCGTAGTTTTCGCAGCATCCCTGTGGTCATGTGATCAAAATTCAAACCCCTTGGCAGCTGACTCATATTTATGACCGCTGCAGTGTTGTGTGAATTCCCCCCACCACCAAGGACTACCTATATGAGGTATGCTTTTTAAATCAACAACAGGTAAAGGGGCTTCTTGAAAACAGCCATAAAGCAGTTAATTCATTTCTTACATTTCTATCTTGGTCTCCGTTCCACCTAAATAGGGCTTGTGAACAAGATTTGTGAAAGGAGGCAGTTTGCAAGTTCCGATGAATTTTTGCACGTTTGATAGAAGTCGGCCGTACCTGTGAAACACCACGGGAATAATTTGGCACAGGTTCCGGTGTGTCCTATTTTCCGGGTCTGAAAGAAACACGGTCCTTCTTTGTTCATCGAAAGGGAAGAAGTTCTTATGCATCGTGATTGAATTTAAAAAGGGAATTTAGCCGAGAGGCTCTGATTTAAAGCCGAAGTGTGGCTGTTTTGTTTGGAAAGCAAACATTCGCCCCGGCCATAGTCAAGTTATGACAGCTGTGGGGCAGGGCAAGCATCTCGGAGATTTGGATAGATTTGGTTACCCCTTTTGAAAATAAATGGTTGAATTCGGATACCCTGTTGAAAAGGAGTGATTAAATGACATTTGTTGTGATGGCCGGGTTCAGCGGAGTGCCACTGACCGAGGTGGCAGCGTCAAAGTTTTCCGTCTGGGGGTGAAGTTGACTTGAACTGAACACAAGTGGCCTTCGGCTTCTTCGTTTCAGGCGATCCCACCGACTTTCAGAAGTGACCGAAGCACTATTTGCACAAGCGGGTTTCTGGCATGCATGCATGCACGTGTGACAATCAGCTGCGCTTTGTGCATGGGCAGTGGCGGAAATCGGAAGTGCTGGTCTTCCATTTTCCAGTGTGAGCATGTGCGCTAGCCAGCTGATCGGTGCATGTGCACGCGTGGTGGTAACCTGAAGACTTGTCAGCCAGTGCATAACGGAAACCGGAAGTACATTTTCTGGCGGGCACTGACCAGCTGATTGGCATGTGTGGCAATAACCTGAAGACTTGCCGGCAGTAATCTGAAAAAACTGCATGCCCCCGGGAAACTCCTATTCCTAGTCTCGGCCCAGACGAGCGCACGCAAAGTGCTCCCTTCTCGGCACTTAGTGCTACCACCACGCCCACGCACGCTCCCTTTTTTGGCACTCGGTGCCAAAAAGGTTCACCATCACTGCCTTATATCATTCCAGACAAATGGCTGTCCAGGCTCCTCTTAAAAGCCTCCAATGATGGAACATCCACAACTTCTGGTGGCAAGGAGTTCCACTGATTAATTGTTCTGTTAGGAAATTTCCCCTAGGTTGGTTGTCTCCTTGCTTGGTTTCCAACCATTATTTCTCTTCCTGCCTTCAGGTGCTTTGGAAAATAGCTTGACCCCCTCTTTGTGGCAGCCCCTCAAATATTGGGAGAATGTCTAGAATTGTTTTTGCTAAAAATTCAAAAGGTGAGAAGATACCTACTGATGATGAAGTTATTAAGAAAATTATGGAATGTGCTGAAATGAGTAAACTGACATCTGAAATTAGAGAACAGGAAGATAAACAATATTATTTGATTTGGGATTTGTTTTATCAATGGCTAGATGATAAAATATGGAGATGAAATATGAAATTAATGTAATGATAAAATATATGAAGTGTTTTCTTATGGGAGTTAAGCCTTTGTAAAATAATGGTTAAATGAGTACAATAATATAAAGGGATATATAAAACTGTTAAATAAGAGAAATTAAATAATTGGTAATTTTGGATATGGGATTGTGCGCAAAACAATTTTAACCGATCGACACAGGGTCTGTGATTGTATTTGAATGATGGTGGTTTCATGTTTTGTTGTTTTAAATAAAAAACTTTTTCCAAAATATATATATATATATATATTGGGAAAATGCTACTAGTCCTCCTTTTCATTAAACTAGACATAATGAAACAAAATGTTAAAAAGTTATGTTGTTGATGTCGTTACTTACTTACCAAGCACATCTAAATTATATGAAAGTAACCAAGAGAGAGAGAGAGAGAGAGAGAGAGAGAGAGAGAGAGAGAGAGAGAGAGAGAGATGTAGAGATGTATGCTACTCTTAGCCGGATTTGTGAATTCTTTCAACCCAAATCGGGTTCCTATTTATTCAGAAATCCGCAACCGTTAAAAAGATTCGGTGAAACTCGTTTCTTTGGTGGGCAAACAAACACGTGTAGCAAAATGCCGATAACATTTATTAAAACATGTTATACAAAAAGAGCAACAGACTCTTCTATAAGAAGAAAACAAAGAAACAGGAATCTCACATAAACCACGCTGTACATGATAAAAGGACAGCAGAATTATTACCTCCCACCTTTGCGATATAGTACATAGCAGTTTCACAGATCAGTTCTAAATATTATAATTGACAATGCTTAACGGGCAAATGTTTGTAGTGAAATGGAGGAGGTTTACTTGTTTGCCAAAAAAAAAAAAACCCTTCCAATCACATTTATTCTAGAAATATGGAGGAAAACCAGAAGGGGAGATATAGAGGAGGGGGGAAAAGCAGCAATAATCAACTTAGGATGCAGGCTTCAAGCAAAGGAGAATCATGTCAATGTAACACATCAAAAATGTTAATATACATTTTAAATCCTCCAACTCTCCTTCTTCCCCCTTGGGGCTTAGCAGCTAAACTCTTCAATTCTACTCATCCATAGCTGAATTATTTAAAAAAAAAAGCACAAATTCTTTCCGAATGCTTTTTTTTTTAGTATTCCACTATCCTAAATAAAACAAGTAACTTTCTTTAAAAAAATAGACTCTCGGGTTTAGAAATATCATCTGCCCAAAAACACATTTAACACAGATGCCCTTTTAAAAACAAACAAAGAGGCCAAATGGTGAATTTTTTACAAGCTCCTATTTACAGTCTCAGATTCGTGAAACATGCCGCGTTAGGGATGGATGAGTGGGTGTCTGTGGTTAATACCTCTAAAATCCTTTAAGGATTAGAAATAAGAATAGATTTCCCAAACCCAGCAGTTTTGCCTTTGCAGGTAAGCAGGAAAGCAATCCAAATTGCTTACTATCCAAATTGCACCAGAATGGAAGGGAAAAGATTACCCCCCGTTTAGCAGCAGATATCCGAAAGAAAATGACGATTGCAAAAAGGAACTGCAGGTGAGAATTTGTGGAGGGTTTCCTTCCTCGTCAAAAGGAAAGTGTTTAGTTGTGTTAGCAAGATGGGTTCAAATGTACTATTTGAATAATACCAAATGTACTATTATCACACAAAACCACGCTGGCCTCTGCATAGGTGACATATGTCCTCTGGATTGGTTGCAAGACAAGAGTCACTCACGGAGATGTACAGATGGAATTTAGCACAGCACAAGAGAGGGCATACGTACTGCTTATTCCCTTACCACGCACAGAATCCTAGCCTAAAGTGGAAATAACCTATTTCTATACTCCGGGCGTTTTATCTACTTTTCCTTAATTGCAACTGCCATCTGGATCCTCTCCTAAAGGAGGAGGAGAGGGCTATGAATTGCACATTAATTCTGCCTGGAGCCGGCAGACGACAAATATTTATTTAGTTTTATTCCACGCTGAAAACAATGAAGAACTGTGCCTCTGTTCCTATCTGAAGCTACTCGGCATGTTAGCAACATGTTAAAAGTGCACAAGCGTATCCCAAAGGTGTTTTGTTTTTTTTTCAAAAGGCAACTGTTTCTTGGATTTTTTTCCCCCACTGAAAACCTTCTGCTTCTCATCCAAGAAGCTTCTTCAGTTCTCATCCCAGAAGCTTCTAGGATTTATTTTATTTTATTTTTAAATTTGTATACCGCCCTTCTCCCTGAGGACTCAGGGCAGTGAACAGCCAAGTAAAAACATAAACTACAAACATTAAAATACAATTAAAAAGATATATATATATATAAATTTGGCCCCATGATTAAAAACAATAACAGACAATTAAAAACATTTTAAAAAGTGTTAGGCCAAAAGTGTTAGGATCAAAGCGAAAAGAAAAAAAAAAAGAAAAAACCAAGGAAATCCAGTTGCCTTTTGAAAAACATCTTTGGCACAACATGAGCGTGGTCCCTACACCTCCAGAATCCTGGTTTCTTCCAGGAACTGTGTCTGGTTCCCACTGTCAACTTCTTGCCAAGAGAAACATTAGGCTAGTACACAATTCCTTCCTACATTAAGTCACATCCCCATGGACTAAACCTCTGGCATTTTGACCTGTCTTGATTGCCTTCCAATTGTGCAGGAACTACCGTATTTTTCGGAGTATAAGACACACCGGACTATAAAGAGCAAATCAGCTGAGAGTCGGGAGACCGATCCAATCAACTTGTGCTAATTAAGCTGTGCTGAAGATGAAAGGAGCTGTTTCTTCTTGCTGTTTGCTTGCAAGGAGGAAAACTGCTGGGAGGCAGAGGCCAAAGGGTAGGGGCCAGTGGGCGGGCGGGGCTACATTCGGTGTATAAGACGCACCTAAATTTTCACCCCCTTTTGGGGGGAAAGGTGCGTCTTATACTCCGAAAAATACGGTAACTTTCCCAGAGAAAAGGCCTCCAGAACATTCTAAGGCAGTGACATTATTATTATTATTAATATTTTTTGCTTCGGTTTGATTTTGGAAACAAAACTAAAAAAAACCCAGATCCTTAGGATCTTACTTTTCCTCCACACGACCCACCCACCCAGTACCCATCCTTATGTAAACAAAAAACTTCTCGTCCTTATAAAATTTCAAACAAGAAATAAGAAAAAAACCAGACCGAACGACATGAATTAAAAATTAAACCAGAGGGAATATGAATATATATATCTATATATCTATATACACACGTTCTTGTATATATATCCACGTTTTAAAAATATTATACTTTTTTTTTGTTTTGTTTTGCTTTAAATACAAAGTGCTTCTGTACATTAGCAAGTTACAGTGTTGGCAAAAAAGATCCCTGCTGAGTTAACGTGTTTGATAAGGGTTCAAGTCAGTGGCAGCCACTTCTAACGAAAGGTTATGGCCGAGTTCGGGGTGGACGCTCGATGTTGACTGTTTGTAAGTGCCTGTGGTCAGCTGAAGAAGTGCCTTAGTGGAGACATTGAAAGATTATCCGTGGGGGAGAGAGAAGGAAGCGACAAAGGAACCTCAACGCTTGACGGGTTTTAACGTATTTAAGACGGGGAGGGGGGGCGTATTTAATTAAGAGAGCAGCTCAGGTTACAGTGCTACCTTTATACACCTATGGCATGCCTGCCACAGGTGGCAAGCAGAGCCGTATCTGTGGGCACACGAGCGTTTCCCTAGCTCAGTTCCAGCGCGTGCCAGCCAGCTGATTTTTGGGCCTTCCAGTCCCACCGGAAGTTGGGAAACTGGCTGTTTCCTGCCTCTGGAGGGCCTCCAGGGGGTGGGGAAGGCCCTTTTCGCCCTCCCCAGGTTCCTAGAAAGCCTCTGGAGCCTGGGGAGGGTGAAAAAATGGGCCTTCCGGTCCCATCGGAACTCAGGAAACTGTCCGTTTCCAGCCTCCAGGGGGTGGGGAAGGCTGTTTTCACCCTCCCTAGGCTCCAAAAAAGCCTCTGGAGCCTGGGGAGGGCGAAAAATGGGCCTACCTGTCCCACTGTGCCATCACGTGCCACAAGCGGTGGGCGTATGGGGGGGGGCAGGGCACATGGGTGTGGGCACACACACGCATGACCCCCCCACGCCCCCCCACTTTTGGCACGCGACGGCAAAAAGGTTAGCCATCACTGCCTTATACCAAGTCACTCGTATCTTAGACATCAGCTGAAAAGATCATTTCAGCAATCGAAGAAAAGAGGACAGCCCATCTCAAAAATGCTTGCTTTTTTTGTTTGTTTTTGTGAATCTACCTAGGCTGTTATTTCCGAACCTTGGAACCCCTTTTAACTCTGTTATTCTGCATTCTAAGACGAGCGGGCTTCCAACTCCCAGCATCCCCCAACCAACACGGGAATTCTGGGAGTTGAAGTCCACCCATCTTAAAAGCGGTTGAGAAACTCCCAACCTAAACAAGGAGCGCAGGTTGACTTTGCTTCCAAGGTTTACAAGTGGAAACTTGGATTAAGAATACAGGATAGTAATTCTAGCCAAGGAAAGACACAGATGAGATGTAACACAAATGTGTTAACCATTCTAACTTTCTTTGGGGCAGCCCCTGAGATATTGGAACACAATGAATGCCTCACTTCTAAACAATGGCTGACGCTGAGAAAGAACCTTAATTCTTTACGAATGATCTAGAGCCACTTCGGAATTACGAAATTAATCTGCAGCTAAAAAAAAAAAAATGCATCCATTGTGTAGGAGAAGTATCAGGTTTAGAAACTCAGAAGAATTCCCCGAATATGGGCATAGCTTTAAGGATGCTATTTATTTCTCAACCACTGGAAGGAACTGTAGTTTAAAACAGGTTCTATAACCTGGTTACTAATGAATCTTGAGTTAATATGGAGGCTACTACAAACAGACCGCAAACCTCCAAAGATGATTTGCTTTCTGGTTTTGGAGCAGACTAATGAAAATATAGACTCGAAAAAATGACTTGCGCTAAAGGAGGGGGGCACTTTCCTCCTTGTTGGGGAACAGACATAAATGCCCAGTCAAAAAAAAAAAAAGAGGCTGGCTTGATTGACTATTGCATTAGAGGCACAAGGGAAGGACGAGAAAGTGAGGTTTTAAAGTGTCCATCGCCGTGTATCACATAAAAAAACCACAAAACTAACAGGTGCTGCTTGCCAAGACAAACAAGAGCCGCCAATCAATGCAACTCAGAAGCTGGACAGACCTCGAAGCTCAGAAATTGGGCAGAACTTCTCCCTCTTGCTCAGAGTCGCCTCGAACCGCGAGATGGGTGGCAAATAAATTGGAGGATAATAATAATAATTTGATTATAATAATAATAGTCTCGCACTTGAAAATTATCTAGCGATATGCTTTTGGAGAAAAGGAGGAAAAATTAACCCGCTCGCTGACCCTTTGGTTCTCAGCCAGCAAGCGCTCACGCCTCTTACTTTACTAGCTTAAATTCAAAGGCCGCTAACCGGGGAGCGCCATCAAAGGAAACCGCCACCCCGCCGGGAGCCTCATCTCACATACGTTCCCGCCGAACCTTAAAATATCGAGCAAAATTCTCTTGAGATGAATTCAAAGCAAGAAGCACTCTCGGCATTCCTTCCGGAGAGAACCCAAATGTTCCCGAAGCACGAATGAAATAGCGGTAAATTATAAGTAGGTTAAAAAGTACCGTTATGCCAACTTGCTGGCCTCTTTGCCGTCTCAGGGCAGGGACGCCTTAAGAGAGGGTCCTGGCCGAGTTTATTTGGAACCCACCACCTCAAAAGCAGCAAAGGCCTCAGGCACGAGGCCGCGGGACGCCATGTTCCGTTCCGCTTGATCAGATTGAGGCCGTGCGACACAATCGCTCGTCCGATTAAGCCGTTCGATTCCCTTTCGATCTCTTCCCTCCCCCCCACTCCCGTCCGCTTCTAGTTCATCTTAGCAGCATTCTGTTCCATTTTGCAGGCTTGGTATGATTTGGTGCAGGAGGTGACGTGCCGGTGGAAACTGTCTCTCCACATGAACCTTTTCCCGCAAATGTTGCACTCGTACGGTTTAATGCCGGTGTGGATTTTCATATGGCCCACCAGGTGGTGCTTCATTTTGAATTTCTTACCGCACACCCCGCAGCCGTATGGCCGGAGTCCGAGGTGCATACCCATGTGACGGTCCCTCTGGCTTTTGTGGGTAAAGCTCTTGCCACACTGGCAGGGGTAAAGTTTGTCGGCGGTAGAAAAGCCAGCGAGGGCGTTTTCTTCCTTGATCCCCGAGGGAAGATCTAAGCTTTCTCCGTAACCCGAAGCCTCCGGTCTCTGGAGGCTTAGAGGCCTATCGTTCCTTTCCCCAGAAAACTCTTCCATGGAGGAGCCGTAGAAGTCAACTTGCTCGTCGTAGTTGCCTTCGTTGGCCGGGTTCCCAAATTCCACTTCCACCTTCCTATCGTTGACCGGGAGATCTTCCACAATGCTGGTCTGAACGGGGTGATCCGGCTGAACGGCGTTCACCGACTCGGAGACATGGTGCTCGTCGTAGGAGCCGTGCATTTCGACCCCTTCGCAGTCTTGAACAAACCTTTCTGTTTTGACGTGGATCCACCGTTTGTGAGACATAATGCTGGGCTTACTGTAAAGAGGCCGGGCGTATTGATAATCAGTACTGTCACTGATGCCTTCTTCTCCATCCTGGCTGGTCATTCCAGTGCTCAACCGGTCATGTTCTGTAGAGGAATTGCTAGGGAGATACTCGTGTTCGGTCAGTTGGGACAACAGCTCATCCTTGGAGCTCTCCTCTTCGTTTTCCCCATCCCTCAGTTCCTGCGCTTTGTGGAAATCCGACTGGCCCGCGGCCCCCAGCTCAAAGCTTTCCGCCAGGCCGTTGTAGTTACTACTGCTCGGAGACTGGTGGTCGCTGGTTCGGTTCAGCTTTTGACAAAGGACCGAAGGGTTTCCTTCCAACACCTCCGTGCACTTGTCCACCACGTGCCACATCTGAAGGAAACTGGCCGCCGTCAAGTAGCTAACGATTTCCGGAGCGGGCATGACGAGTCGGCCAGTGTAGGTCGACAGGAGGATATTCTCGAAGACCCTGGGATTCATGACGTCGGGAAGGACAATCCGTCGACTGTTCTTCAGGAGCACCTGATCGCAAAAATAAGGGGAGCTGGCAGCCAGGACGGCTTTGTGGGCTCGGAAAAGATGACCCTGGACCACGATAGACACATCGCAGAGCTGGCCTTGCTGGCGCTGCTGGTTGAGCTTCTGCAGGACGGTGTTGCAGAAATCGGGGAATTCGACGCGGAAAGAAGTCGCCCCCAGCTCCATTTCATCAGTGAACTGCAAGAGAAGAGAGCGCCAGTTTAAAGAGGAAAAGGAAAAGGGCAGCTTTGCAAATTGTGAAGGCACCCAGGGAAAGCATTACCCAGGTTGGGTAACGAAAAGTTTCTCCACACACCCCACTCCCTTCTGGCGCTGATGAGGTTACCTAGTTTGGTGACGAAACATCTGCAAAAAACTCCTACTTCAGCGTTACCGATGTTGGGTAACGAAAGGTTTGCAAGGAAACAGCCCAGCTCAGAGAGCCCCAAGGACTCCTCATTTCAACCATTAGCACCAGTCAGTGGTATTTGTGATGCATTTTTATGTTCAGTTAACTGAGTTTCATGTTTAATGAATAAAGTGTATAATAATAATAATAATAATTATTATTATTATAGGTTGATACTTTGTTGATACTTAGGACGCTGAAAACAACCTGTAACAACCATCACCGCCAGTCAATAGTATTTGTGATACATTTTTAAACGTTCAGTTCACTGAGTTTCATGTTTAATTAATAAAAGTTTATAATACTACTACTACTAATAATAATAATTTTAAGAAGATACTTGATTGATACCTAGGACGCTGGCAGCATCAGCGCCAGTCAATAATATTTGTGATACATTTTTAAACGTTCAGTTGACGGAGTTTCATGTTTAACGAATAAGAGAATAATAATAATAATAATAATAATAATAATAATAATAATAATAATAATAATAATAAAGCAACCAGCCAGGGCAGCTGTCAGGGCAGCCTGCTTCCCTCCAATGCCTCTCCTCCTCCGTCCTTCTCTTGCCAGGCAGACGCGTCACATCAAAACCCCACCCCGAGAAGGAAGGCTCGCCACAGCGCCGGGGACGGTAGACTGCTCTTGCCTATGGAGGCTCTCTCGGGGATAAAGGCGCCCCCTCCCTCCTTCCCTCCCCCTGCCCGGAGGGGCCCCCCCCCCCCCCCCCCCCCCCCCCCCCCCCGAGCCCCCCCTTCCCCTGCCCCGGAGAAACAGCCTCTCACATGGCGGGCGGCCTCCCCAGGCGACCCCGCCGCGCGTCCTTCGCCCCCTCCGCCAGCCTCCTCCTCCTCCTCCTCCTCCTGCAACTCCGGAAGCCGAGACCCGGAAGTCCCCGGGCTCCGCTTCCGCTCCCCGCGCCTCCGCTTCCGGTATATAGAGTAGGAAGGGAGGACGATAGAGTGAGGGCGGGAAGGACAGAGCGGAGCCTCCGAGGGAAGATCTTCACACACACACACCTCCCCCCCCCACAATCCCCGCAGGCAGGCAGGCCGCCCGCGACCATTATCCACAGCCATCGGGGGCGGAGCAACATGGGTGGGGAGGGAAGAGCGGCCAAATCCAACCCGGCGCCCGCGGACGTCTCTTGAGTGGCACCATTTCTGGGGGGGGCGGGGCGGAGAAGGGCAGGATGGGAATTTTGGTTTCGGTTTCGGTTTCGGTTTCGGAATAAAAGGCCCAGATTCCAAATAATGGAGGAATTCTGAATTCTTCCTGGCTGGGCTGAAGCTGTTGAAAGGCTTCTCCCCTTTGGGGGGGGGGGGTCTTGAGATTTTGGGGTTCAAAGGGGGGGAATGTGGGGGCGGGGGGGCGCAGACCCCCCGCCCCCACATTTTTCCCCCCCCCCCCACTTTAATTTATAATATTTTTTGGCCGCCAATCCGATTTGGGCCGCCAGATTTTGAGGATGGTCGGCAAACTCTTCCCATTGATGTTTTTGCTGAACAAAATCCCGTGAAAAATATTGATATTAATATTAATACACGACCCAATAAATATAATAAATAAATAAATATAATTTAATAAGCAAGAATGTGTGCCCGTGTTTATTTTTCATAGGATAAATATCGATAAGGATAACTCGTGCAAACAACGGCTCTTTTGTTATATATATTAAGTACGATAATGCGAATGGGTTGGCCGTTCACATATGATTAGTAATATTATTACGATTAATAAATCATAATCCTACTCCCTCGCAGCTTGGATGACGTTAGCTAGTTGGGTAATGAGATGTCTGCAAGGAAACAACCGGGATTGTAGAACGCCAAGGATCCCACAGTTGCCCCCCCTCCTGCCCCTGCTCCTCCCCCCTTTCTCCTCCTGCTCCTCCCCTCCCCTTTTCTCCTTCCTCACTGCACAAACCCCACTCTCTTCTAGCACTGATGATGTTACCTAGTTGGGAAATGAGATGTTGCAAGGAAATAACTAACTTCAAGAGCATCAAGAATCCCACAGTCCTCCTCCTCCTCTCCCTCCTCCTCCAACCCCACTCCTTTTTAACCCTGATGATGTTATCTAGCGGGGTAATAAAACGTCTGCAAGAAAACAGCCAGGCTCGAGAGAGCACCGAGGACCTCGTCCAGAGCTGCAAATATTCTCTTCCGTTGGTAAAATATTTAGCCTAGGGTGGAAGGAAAAATCCAGCTAGTCATCCGATGCATTGGAGACACATCCCTTTCCGTGTCTCTGCTGCCACCTTGGGGTTGGCCTGATTTTAACACTCTAATCAGGGAAGCCTCCGTTTTGGGAATCCCCCCTGTCTTACATGAAGACTTCCCGGCTTCTTCGGGAGGAAGAAGAAGAGATGCGGGTGGGGCTGTTGCCTAGAACCTGCCAGTCTTCTGTGCCGGGTTGGAAATCCAGTTTGGATTTAGACCATCAAAGAGGCACTTGGTGATCCTGGCACGGGGAGAGGCTTCCAAAAATGCCACCGGCGCTTTTCTCTCCCCTGCCCTCCCCCTCCCAGCTCTTGTGGTTGTTTTGGAGAGTTCAAAGTAAAGGCTTTGATCTCATTCTCAGCTTGCGAATTGTCCCCTCTGACATCTTGGACGGGTTTTGGGGGATTTGCTCCTGGGCTCACATGCTGTGAAGCCGAGTCTCGTGGTGGTGGCCTGTCTTTTCCTGAGAAGAAGAAGAAGAAGGCCGTGGTGGTAGCTATAGCATTTCCCATCGCCAGGCAAGTTGTTGGGGGTGTGGGGTTGTCCTGGCCTGGTTCAGTCATGACCCAGCATGCAAAGGGTTTTTCTTTCTTTCCTTCCTTCCTTCCTTCCTTCCTTCCTTCCTTCCTTCCTTCTTTCCTTCCTCCCATCCATCCATACTCCCTCCCAATTCTTCCTTCTTTCCTTCCTTCCGCCTTCCTTTTTCCTTCTTTCCTTCCTTCCCCTTCCTTCCTTCTTTCCTTCCTTCTCCTTCCTTCCTTCTTTCTTTCCTTCCTTCCTTCCTCCCTTCCTCCTTTTTTCTCCCTCCCTCCCTTCCCCTTCCTTCCTTCTTTCCTTTCCTTCCTCCCTATCTCCCTCCCTCCCTCCCAGGCATCCATCCATCTCCCTCCCAATTCTTTCTTCTTTCCTCCCTCCCTCCCTTTCTCCCTCCCTTTTCTCCTTCCTCACTGCACAAACCCCACTCTCTTCTAGCACTGATGATGTTACCTAGTTGGGTAATGAGATGTCTGCAAGGAAACAACCGAGGGTGTAGAGCATCAAGGATCTCACAGTTGCCCCTCCTCCTGCCCCTGCTCCTCCCCCCTTTCTCCTCCTGCTCCTCCCCTCCCCCTTTTCTCCTTCCTCACTGCACAAACCCCACTCTCTTCTAGCACTGATGATGTTACCTAGTTGGGTAATGAGATGTCTGCAAGGAAACAACCGAGGGTGTAGAGCATCAAGGATCTCACAGTTGCCCCTCCTCCTGCCCCTGCTCCTCCCCCCTTTCTCCTCCTGCTCCTCCCCTCCCCCTTTTTCTCCTTCCTCACTGCACAAACCCCACTCTCTTCTAACACTGATGATGTTACCTAGTTGGGAAATGAGATGTCTGCAAGGAAACAACCGAGGGTGTAGAGCATCAAGGATCTCACAGTTGCCCCTCCTCCTGCCCCTGCTCCTCCCCCCTTTCTCCTCCTGCTCCTCCCCTCCCCCTTTTCTCCTTCCTCACTGCACAAACCCCACTCTCTTCTAGCACTGATGATGTTACCTAGTTGGGTAATGAGATGTCTGCAAGGAAACAACCGAGGGTGTAGAGCATCAAGGATCTCACAGTTGCCCCTCCTCCTGCCCCTGCTCCTCCCCCCTTTCTCCTCCTGCTCCTCCCCTCCCCCTTTTTCTCCTTCCTCACTGCACAAACCCCACTCTCTTCTAACACTGATGATGTTACCTAGTTGGGTAATGAGATGTCTGCAAGGAAACAACGGAGGGTTCAGAGCATCAAGGATCTCACAGTTGCCCCTCCTCCTGCCCCTGCTCCTCCCCCCTTTCTCCTCCTGCTTCTCCCCTCCCCTTTTCTCCTTCCTCACTGCACAAACCCCCCTCTCTTCTAACACTGATGATGTTACCTAGTTGGGTAATGAGATGTCTGCAAGGAAACAACGGAGGGTGTGTAGAGCATCAAGGATCTCACAGTTGCCCCCGCTCCTGCCCCTGCTCCTCCCCCCTTTCTCCTCCTGCTCCTCCCCTCCCTTTTCTCCTTCCTCACTGCACAAACCCCACTCTCTTCTAACACTGATGATGTTACCTAGTTGGGTAATGAGATGTCTGCAAGGAAACAACGGAGGGTTCAGAGCATCAAGGATCTCACAGTTGCCCCCCGCTCCTGCCCCTGCTCCTCCCCCCTTTCTCCTCCTGCTCCTCCCCTCCCCCTTTTCTCCTTCCTCACTGCACAAACCCCACTCTCTTCTAACACTGATGATGTTACCTAGTTGGGAAATGAGATGTCTGCAAGGAAACAACCGAGGGTGTAGAGCATCAAGGATCTCACAGTTGCCCCTCCTCCTGCCCCTGCTCCTCCCCCCTTTCTCCTCCTGCTCCTCCCCTCCCTTTTCTCCTTCCTCACTGCACAAACCCCACTCTCTTCTAACACTGATGATGTTACCTAGTTGGGTAATGAGATGTCTGCAAGGAAACAACGGAGGGTTCAGAGCATCAAGGATCTCACAGTTGCCCCCCCCTCCTGCCCCTGCTCCTCCCCCTTTCTCCTCCTGCTCCTCCCCTCCCCCTTTTCTCCTTCCTCACTGCACAAACCCCACTCTCTTCTAACACTGATGATGTTACCTAGTTGGGAAATGAGATGTCTGCAAGGAAACAACCGAGGGTGTAGAGCATCAAGGATCTCACAGTTGCCCCTCCTCCTGCCCCTGCTCCTCCCCCCTTTCTCCTCCTGCTCCTCCCCTCCCTTTTTCTCCTTCCTCACTGCACAAACCCCCCTCTCTCCTAGCACTGATGATGTTACCTAGTTGGGAAATGAGATGTCTGCAAGGAAACAACCGAGGGTGTAGAGCATCAAGGATCTCACAGTTGCCCCCCCTCCTGCCCCTGCTCCTCCCCCCTTT